AGAACAGAATTTCTCCGTGAAAGTTCGACTGAACCATTCCAAACGTACGGAAATACGGAACGTACAACGGGATTTAGCAATTTCCCAAACGGAGAGATAATACCGTTAGTGTCGAGTTAAAATTTTGACGATATCAAAGCTGCATTGAGAGCAGTCATACCCGAAAAGGTATTATCATGCAGAGCGTTCACATTCACGAGGATGAGCGAAACTGGGTCGGGTTTCATCCGCGATGCCTGCCACCGCGTGAAAATTAAAACCGTTCGCACGTATAAACTCATTTCCCATGGTAGCGGCACCGATAGGCGACACGTCCGATGAAATAATTTATCACGTTAATTCGCTCGATACCTGCTCTCGATGCAACCTACGGGCTGCCACTTATTCATGTAGGCAGCCAAGCCTTATGGCAATGTGACCCTCGTTACCGTCTATCTTTGTCTCGGCGGAGCTGTAAATTACGATTTCATCAATTTTACTGATCGCGTGTAACCCAAGCAGGTACTTATATTCGAATACTCTTGCGAAATCGTCAAAGACTAATTGAAAGATCAAGTAGAATCGTATAACAAAATTGTATAATGAAAGATAAACATGTTCACTAAGGAATGAACATTCTTCAAACTTGTTACAATCTGTTGTAAAAAAATCTGGGAACATTCTGATGCACGGATTAGAGTATTTGAGACTTGGCCACTATTTTTATTTATTAAAATAAAAGAAAAATCAAAAATATATAATATAAATTGCCTACAAATCAAAATTGTATTGTATAAATAATTTAAAATCGTGGGAACCTTGTTAAAATATCGCAGCTCTTCATTTGCTACTTGATCTCTTTAAAAGGTTTTTTAGGTATGTTAACCCTTGTTACGCTCTAATTTTGACGGTTCTCAATGGAGTTGTAAATTGCGATTTGATCGATTTTTACGCGTAATCCAAGTCTGAATCCGATCGTTCAAGCCCGATTGGCAGGGAATTGGTGTCTGATATTCGAGCTATAAGTCGGTTCAACTGATATTACAAAGTTGTCAGAGTTAAGTACCCATCGAATTGTTTGACGCTGAAAGCGGAATCACTTGACGAGTTTGCAATCGGATTTGATTACAATATGCTATTACTAGCGGGTGTAGGATGATAAGACTGATGAGGGTTCGACGATTTTAATCCAAAGCGTATTGTAAGCCAATTCCATAAGCTTGCTTATTGTTTTCGAGTCGACAATCGCGAAATCGTTATTTTGTAATGAATAGACTTAAAATATTCATTATTTTTATGAAAATACATTTACAATATTCGATAAATAAAAGTAAGAAAAACCACCCTTGTCGCTCGAATCTTTTTTTTTGTGAAAAACGTAATTGACTCTTGCCCGGCGAAGAGGTGACAAAGGAAACGCAAAAATTGAAAACACGCGATTTATAGACACGAAAACAACGAGTGTGCGGGGTTGGGAGAGGGGGAGGAGGGAATTAATAACTGGATTTCATCACCGAGAATAAAAGAGCTTGTACCATTCATGTTCCTCGGATCTGTAATCTCTCGACGCGATTGCTTCTGTATTTTCCCTTTTTTTTATGCTTTTTATTCAGAGTTGACAGATTAGCTATCCGAGGAGCATCGACATATTGCATACAGTGGCAGATAACGAGAATTTCAAGGGGATGACAGGGAAAAATAAACCTTCACTGGACTGCCTGATAATTTTCATTTAGATAAATCGATTTTTTAATCATTTTATCTGTGCTTTGCAAACAAGAGAATTGTTTTGGCGTGTACAGGTATGAACGAGCGAAACTGCTCTCCTTCCCGGCAGAGAGAGGTCAACGTAGGAAGCGTGAAGTCCGGCGGAAGTACGGTCCAGATCAATCTAGGATATGGGCCAGCCACCTTCGAGGATTCTCGGCGAGCCAGCAGCTCGGTATCTCAGGTATGACATTTTTCGTACTCCCTTGACCAGCGCCATCGAATGTACGATGATCATAGAAAGTGTACCAGTCGCATTAACCCCTATAGAAAAAACGAGATTCTCTAAGAATGAGAAACTGGAGGTTTCACTTAAACGAATTTAAAGAAGCTAAACTTCTTAAGCTCCTATCCTTGTCCTTAAACCCTTAAACCCTCTTGTATCCTCTTAGGAAAATTTCGTTAGGCAAAGTGGGGTGCTGCCATTTCTCCAAAACGTTTATCTAAGAACCCCAAGAGGACCGCATACGATTATTTTAAAATAAAAGAGATTAACCATTCGTTATATCCATATTTGATGAATACCAATCATTGCAGTTGATGAAATGTATCACGATTATTATTAGTAATTAAAACAAGATATCATTTTAAGTAAATGATTCGCGAGACACTAAAAAATGTTCGTTCCTTCGTTTATTCAATTTCGCGAACGATTCGCATTGTGGAAGAATTTAATAGCTAACAACGTTCGTGTACGTCCGGTAATTTTCACCGGGAGATACGGTGGCGCATCCTTCATCCAGTCGCTTATTTCACGACCTTCCCATCCTGTCAGCCAGAAAATTTACGAACGATATAACGAACTCTGTGGAAATGTTCAGTACTGAAGGGCCGAAGGAATAGTTGAATCGTAAAAAAATTGCCCACCCTTCCAACGTAATAGACGAGCATCGCGTCGGGCCGAAACGGCCGTTTTATATCCACGAACAGACGCCCCAGCCGAAACGTGAAGGTGACCTTAAACATTTTTCGTACGGACGTTTCAATTTCATTTTGAAACCTTTCATATTTTACGGCCCTTCGAAGAGTTCAATATTGTTCTCAATATTTCTCACTACTGGCTACTAGATATGCGCTCTATTGTAGGAAGGACGGATCGTGGGATTGTATAAAAAATGAGTGATGAACATTGCTTCAGAGACGTTATTATTGATCGCTCGCAACTCTTTTCGAAATTTTTTTATTGTTTAACGAGAATTTTTCTTATCCCGGTAAGATTGAATGATTTCTTTTATAACTACGATTTACCCCAGATTGCAATCTGATCGATGAACCGTTTCGTGTCGATGTTCAGTTTTCAGGCGACGAATCACGCCGCCTTTTCACGAGCAGCACCAAAGTGCCGGAGAATACAATGGAGAACAGGAACCTCGGAGTGATTACTTACGGGTCTGTGGTATTTCAATTGAAGGACGCGAATCTTGAGGCGACGAACATCTGCGATTTCGTGCTGCGCGCGTTGAAGGTGGTCTGTAGAACGAGGGTGGTCATCGTCTGCCTGATATGCTTGTCGGCAGTACCATTCCTGATGCTGATTTATGGTGAGCAGAGAAAATTGTTATTGTTGGACCAACAAAAACGTTTGAATTAATCGCCGGTGCTTGCGAACGTTGTTACAATATCGTTTCCCCTTCGAATGCTCCAAAATAACATTTCGCCGAAGGGTAATTCAAACTAGACAGTATAAAAAAAAAGAAGAAAAAAAAAACGCGTGTTACGTTCGGTATGGCGCGCAGCAAAGCTTTTGTGCATACACGCAATCACGGTCGAATCGATATAGTTACAGATAGAAAAAGTTATCAATTATTAGAAGAAACCCAGTGAACTGTTGTAACAAGTAACCTTATCACCTATCTGCTGCTTTCTATCTTCATTACGCCGCAAGGGACATATTTCTGTCAAACATGTTATAACATATTTCTGATAAACTAGAAATTCTACGAAACTCCGTTCGCTACGTAAACATAAATCCATTAAAACCATTCCCTTTCACACTGCACGTAAATTGACTGATCACTCGTTTGAATTTTCATTAATTACCATAACACTACAAATCCAGCTTTAGATATTTGAGATAACATCGTATCAGCTGAATTCCGGTTTACTGCATAATGAATGCACGAATATCAGATACTGGTCTCGAATAAGAGAAACTCGGCCGGGTAGATTCGAATCTGGAGCGAGAGTGTGGGTAAGGGGATGCGGATACCCTCGCCTTACCGTCACGAAGCACGGGTATACCGCGATTCGCACCGACCAAGATCCCGGCCATCGTTTATGACACGCGAGCAGCGTGCTACTTTCCCTTTTTCAGTAAGTTTTTATTAAAGCTCATCTATGACCCAAGCTAATCGTAATCAAAGTTCACTGCGATTAACACCTGAGAGTCAGATATCGACTTACTGTTCCGAAAAATGCTTTGGAAAATTGCATAAAAAAATATTCCACTTACGAAATATTTATATTTAAACGATTCATTTAGAAAAACGAATATTTTTCTGTTCAGCAATCACAGCTTTCTTTATCATGAGTGAGAATCCATGGTACGTCCACCTTTTCCCTAGAGCGTAGAGCGTTCTCAAATCGATAAATAGCGCAGGGTTAGTTCGCAGAAACAGGAATTACGTACCTCGGTTACAGGTGAACGTACTTGCATATACGTAGATCCTTGAAAATTTATTACCACGTCCTGGTAACTAGAACCCGGGGTATTTATTATCGAAGGGAATCTCGACTGTGTATTCGTTGACTGATGCACGTTATCTCTAGCTTCTAATTGAAAATTGTACACTCCTATTATTATTAGGGACACAATAGAACTTCTGTGACACTGCTAAATAATTAACCGTACAACGTCAACGATTGTTTTAATAAATAATTAAATAAAATGAATGACACGTTAAAAAAAGGCAGCATACCGCGAGTGGAAGAACTTGCATGTC